TTATTCTAGCCGAAATAAAACAAATAAGACTTTCCCTAGAAGAAAAAATATTATCAGACATACTGTGAAAAATTCCTAGCTCTGTTAAACATATATATATATTAATAAAATATATATATGTATTCCACGCAATTGCTTCATGTTGTCCCAGCACAAATGGATTAAGTTAACTTAGATGTGTTTACAAATGTATGTGGATTGAACGTAAAACATTTCAGTTGTTCCAAAAATACTTAAGAATTGTATTGTTTCAACTCATTTTTTATATTAGTGATGTAAATTACAGTTAAAAAACCTGGTAATGAACTGCCTGTACTTCTGTATTTGTTATTTTATAAACTTTATTTTCTATCTATTCTTTTTTTATATTGTTTTGAACAACTAAACTGAACTACTAAAAACTACAGAGTTGAAATTTCAACCTCAAAAGTCAACACAGCAGAGACCAATGTACCATAATGCAATTCATAACCAGAAATAAACAGAAAAAAGCTTTCAGTCAAGAAATACTGAACATGTTAATTAACAAGTTTTTTTACAGTCTATAAACACCCTTCCTTGACACTAACAATGCTTTTTATGTGCCCTTGAAGATATAAACATGTCATAATACATTCAATAAACCCTCAGAAATCACACCTCCCAGTATTGAAGAATTAGATAAGAGTTAAACGCAGCACAGTGTTGTGTAATACTGAATGTTTATGTGGAAGGTGCTCTGTTCACACATATACTGTATCACAAGCACTATAGTAAACCTTGGACTGTGCCATTTTTACGCCTCTGTTATGTCCCCCCATTTCAAATGTCCCTGTCATTTTTCTGGTTTAACCTCATTCTGTCTTTGAAGATGTCCTCAAGCAGATTTTAAAAGCTAAATGGGGATTAGTAGTGTTTTTCTTTGTCAAGCTCTGCTCCAGTCAAGATTGACTGTTTTTAGCTCTGTTGTGACGTTTATTGTGTTATTGTTATTTTTATTATTACTTTTTGAAACTCAGTTGTTGTTTTCTATGAAAAAATATTGTAAATAATAATCTTGTATTAAAACAAATTTATTTTTAGGTACAATTTTTTTTCTGGAAATATTAAGACTTTAAACTCATATCACTACAACTTTATTATATAGTTTTAACTTTATTATCATAACATTTCATAAACAACATTTTGACTTTATTCTTAAAATAATACAACTTCAATCTTGTATCACTAGTCTACGACTTTATTTTGGTAACATTTTAACTTTATTCTCATAACATTTCAGCTTTATTTTTGTAACTTTTTGACTTGATTCTTGTACGATTTCGACTTTATTTTCAAAATATTACAACTTTACTCTTGTATCACTACGACTTTATTCTGGTAACATTTAGAATTTACTCTTGTAACATTTTGACATTATTCTCATAACATGGTGATTTTATTCTCATAATATTTAGATTTTATTCTCATAACAAATCGACATTATTCTCATAACAATTTTGACTTTATTCTTGTAAAATCTAGACTGTATTTTCGCAACAAATTGACATTATTCTCATAACATTTTTACTTTATTCTCGTAAAATTTAGACTTTATTCTTGAAATATTACAACTTTAATCTAGTAACTAAGAGTTTGTATACTATTAATTAAATATGTTGTAATGTGCAGTGTTGATTGAAATATATAGTGAACATGGTGGATAACGGCTAGCATAAAGTCAACATAGAATTACCATACTAGCATACGAGGTAAACAAATGGCTTAAAAGGAAAGTTATTTTATTAGTTTAATGCCTGATTCAGCCTAACTGCCACTAGATGTCACATTTTCTTTGGGTTTTACATTATAGCAGCTTGGTTGGTTTCTTCATACTTTAGGGACACTAAAGACAGAACATTTCCTTAATCGTTTTAACTTAAGCAGTTAAGTAGTATGACTCTTATTCAAGACTCCAAAGAATACATTCTTATAGCCTGCATGTGAACTTATTTTTTTTTTAAGTAGAACTGCATAAAAGGCTGCTTTAGCCATTGTGCTAATACTTTACAGTAAGGTTCATTAGATAACACTAGTTAATTAACAATTTACTGTATAATGAGTAGGGCCTGACAGAATCTGCGGACATTTTCTGCTATTTCTGCGGCGATTTCTGTTTGGAAGAAATCTGTGGATTTATGCAGAATTATATTGGGAGTATTATAACTAAAAACTTAATATATAAAATAAACAAATAATAGCTTTTTAACTTAATGTCTACTAAGCAAATCCATCTAGATTCACTTGTTTGGTAAACAAAGCAAGTCTTTCATATAATTTATCTTCTAAAAGACAGAAAATATTACTTTACAAACTTCATTGTAAATAAATCAAATAAACACTTTTATATTATTCAATATTAATACTGAAATTAATTTAAAAAAAACTGAGTAAATATAAATTTACATAAGTAAATAAATAGACTTAATGATTGGCTAAACATCTGCGAAAATCTGCAGATTTCTGCATGCGCAGATTCCGTGTGGGCCTAATAATGAGCAACGCATTTGTTAAAGTATTTACAATACTGTAATGTAAAGCGCTTTGTGTGCCCAGAAAAGCACTATATAAATGTAATGAATTATTATTATTATTATTATTATTATCTGTCAACTTTGGAAATAAACATTTAACTCTTCATTGCTATTAAATGAGTGCTCAGGTTCAATAAATAATAATGCAATTAAAAATATATATAATTAAATAATAATTAATACAATATTAAAATTGTGTTTTGTTGGCGTTAAAATTAACATTAACTGATATCAAAATTGCTTTAAAAATATTTAGCATACTTTACATATATTGCATAAATGTTAACAAATAGATCTTTATTAAAATTATTAACATGACTTTCTTTTTTGCAAAAAAGGAGGTGAAATTTTAACACCCATAAGGCTATAGACTTGATTTGACTGTCAAATTGAATACAAAAAATATGAAACTTTGATGTGTAGTTTTTACAAAAACCCTGGAGCTGTTGAAGGTCCAATGAATGATGCACAATTAGAAATAAATGTTATATATGGGTACAGCCAACATGGAGAAAGAGTCCTTTGTTATTATATATTTTTTATCACACATTTACATCTTCTACTTATATTGTAAATACATAACAGGTTTAAAAATAAATGAAGTTGTCCTTGTGATTACTCATTTTGAACTAATAATGATCTATTGGTTAATGTTAGGTACCAAAAATAATTAACTGTAGAATCTTAAAGTTGCTTTGTTAACATTAGTCAGTGCACTGCGAGTTAAGAAGATCTAACAATTAATCACTGTATTTTCATTAACTGAAATGTATATGTTGAATAAATACTGTAATAAGTCTATTGTGCATTGTTTGTTCATATCCGCTGTTGTGACGTATCGAGACGTATGAAATACTGTTTCCTGCTGCAAGCCGCTAATAATTTGAATTGAATTGTTTATGGCCACTTTTTAGTCCTGTCACACATTTAAGTGAATTTTATGTAAAATCATGGTGTACACAACAGTCTCAGGACTTGCTGCATCACAAATACCAAAATCTGATTAACTTCTAAACTATGTATCTCTTTCTGGCCATAGGAAATTAGGCATGTTTATATATATATATATATATATATATATATTGTTTTAGAAATTTAGTGCTATTTTATTTATTATTACTGTTTTTATTTATTTCAATCATTCTTTACTTTAAACTCAAATTTTCATGTCTAAGGTTTCAGTTACAGTGTAGTTAGTTAGCTACATGAATTTGTAACGATTACCTTAACAACATTTACTTTTAATTTACTTTTAGTTATATGGTTGCTTTCTGGTAATTATGCATTTAATTTAGTGTTAACTGTACATTAAGGCTGTACATTACGGTGTTTCCACAAATTCGGTAGAACTTTTTATTACAGCTGCTTTATACGTGCATAAAATGTATTTATCATAGTCATTGCTGTACATAAACTAAATAATAACAAAGTACTTTGCCTAAACCTACCCCGCAACCCAATCTTAACTTCTATAGCTATTTTATATAACCCAGTACTTTCTTTAGAGATATTTCACCCAAAATTGAAAATTCTGTCCATTATTTACTCACCTTTTACCCGTTTGACTTTTTTTCCTGTTAAACACAAAATAAGTTATTTTGAAAAATATTATACGTGTAACTATTGACTTCCATAGTAAACCTGTAACCATTGACATACAGTTGAAGTCAGAATTATTAGCCGCCCTGAATTATTAGCCCCCCTGTTTATTTTTTTTCCCCAATTTCAGTTTTACGGAGAGAAGATTTTTTCAACACATTTATACACATAAAAGTTTAAATAACTCATCTTTAATAACTGATTTATTTGATCTTTGCCATGATGACAGTAAATATTTGACTAGATATTTTTTCAAGACACTTCTATACAGCTTAATGTTACATTTAAAGGCTTAACTAGGTTAATTAGGTTAACTAGGCAGGTTAGGGTGATTAGGCAAGTGATTGTATAATGATGTTTGTTCTGTAGACTATCAAAAACAAATATAGGTTGTAGGGGCTAATAATTTTGTCCTTATAATGGTTTTTAAAAAATTAGAAACTGCTTTTTTTCTTGATGAAATAAAACAATAAGACTTTCTCGAGAAGTAAAAATATTAACAAACATACTGTGAAAATGTGCTTGCTTTGTTAAACATCTTTTGAGTAATATTTAAAAAAGAGAAAAAAAACTTCATTGGGGGGCTAATAATTCTGACTTCAAATTTCCATAGTATACTCAACAGCCAAAAAATATCAACCTAATTAAGTTTTTTAACCAACTGTGTAAGTAAATAGTGAGTAAATGTTCATTTCAGGGTGCACTATCACATTAAGTAAGTAGTACACATGCTTAATATCCAACCATATGCAACTTTACATCCCAAACATTACCCACAATATAGCATTTAGTAAGGCTGAGGTATGACTGCTTATTCTGAAGGCACTTCCATTTATCTGCTTCCCTCAGGATCTGGGGATCTCGAAGGTGGGCCATATGAAGAGAATTCTCCAGGGAACTAAGGACTTGGCCAAGAGTTCGATGGTGGACCTGTAAGACGTCAACACACATTCCGTTCCTGAGCGAAGACGAGTTGAAGCCGAGCTCTGCTTTCGGGAAGCACTTTGGAGTTGTGGAATAGCTTGTAGAAAAGGAAAAGGAGCTAGGAATGTTGGTTTTAGAGCAAAAACGCTGGTGCCAAAACGACAAGGATTGTGTCAGAGACCTTTTTTAGACCCATAGGAATACCATTCCGGCACAATCAGGTATGCAATTCTCATCATGCACGCGACCTCCGGCCTCTTTTACAAGATTCAGAATCAAGTAGCAGAACAGGACTTCCAAACAAACAGCGTTTTTATTTTCTCGGTGAGCCGAGTGGCTCTTGTGGTAGATGGCAACAATAGGAGGGCGATGTGATGTGTCAGCAATATTCTGCTTTTGAAAGCACTGTTTACATTTTAAGGAGACAGGAGAAAGAGTATCGCAAGCGAATAATGCGTTGCGGTGCAGTCTAGGATAGGTCAACAGGGGTTTCCTTGGACAGTGACATACTGATGCATGGTATGCTTGCTATATTTGGATAGCTATTTTACTGCATGATTTGCGTCTTGTTTAGTTTATTTTTTTGTTTTTTTGAAATTGTACAAACTAACACTTGAACAAGTTTTATATGAATTTAGTATAATGCCGTTTGTTACTACTGAAGCATCCCTTTGGTCCTAGTAGACTGCTGGTTTTATTATCCGATTAACCGTCTGCATGGAAACCTGGTGTCAAAAAGCAGTGTCACGTGCCATATTTTATTGTCCCACAAGCTTTATTAATGTTTTAAAATAGGACGTACAGTACAATAGGTAAATATCTCTGATATAAGTACTAAAGTGAATGTCCCCTGAATTGTTTATACACTACTTGACAAAAGTCTTGTCGCCTATACGAGTTTTAGGAACAACGGTTAACTTCTAAATCAACTTCTAGTTGATCATTTGGTATCAGAAGTGGCTTATATGAAAGGCAAAGGCCTCTAGATTACACTTATTTTACCAAAATAAAATGTGATCATGACTTGATTTTTAATTATTTAATTAAGCTTTAATTAGGCTTCCATGAGCTTGGATGCATCCAAACATCTCTGACCCAAATAACTTATTGATAGATTCATTTGGAATGGCAAAGAAAGCGTTCTTGCAGGACTCCCAGAGTTCACCAAGATACATTAGATTCATCTTCAATGTCTCCCCCATCTTACCCCAGACATGCTCAATAATGTTCATGTATGGTGACTGGGCTGGCCAATCCTGGAGCACCTTGACCTTCATTGCTTTCAGAAACTTTGATGTGGAGGCTGAAGTATGAGAAGCAGCTCTATTCTTCCAGAATTCACCCTCTCCTGTGGTTTGTATTATAACAGGCAGCACAAATGTCTTGACATCTCAGTTGAGATGTTGATGTTGCCATCCACTCTGCAGATCTGTCGCATGTCCCCATACTGAATGTAACCCCAAACCATGGTTTTTCCTTCATCAAGCTTCTTTCTGTTAGCATCTTGGCTCTATGCGGGGTCCAATAGGTCTTCTGCAGCATTTGTGATGATTAAGATGGCAGTTCAACCGATGATTCATCTGAAAAATCGACCTTCTGCCACTTTTCCAAGTGATCAACTATAAGTTATTATTTGTTGCTTTTACAACTGTGATCGACGACAAGACTTTTGTGAGGTAGGGTAGTGTATACAGTATACTAAAAAAGAGGGTCAAATCAGGACACAAGTACATGGCGTCTGTTTGTAACTTAAAACGTAATTCTACGTTAAATAGGACTTCAGTTGTTTTAAATAGGAAATTGCAGTTGACCTGCAACGTTTATATTTAGTTGATATTTGCTCAGCGCAACTTTGATAGGATCATTTACGTTCGGTCAGTGGCATTACAGGGTATAAGAGATGTTCGTTTGTTAATATATGCACTGTATATAAGTCTAAACTGTTAACTCCAGTTACGAATAAAGCCTTTGTATTATAGAACGCTTATACGATTATTATCGGACAACACATTTATTTGTGCATAGAGCACCATAAATACAACTTTGTGAATTATTCTGTTAAGTAAACGCCTTTACACGTTAAGTGCTGTTGTACTCTATGGAAGGTGCAATATTGTATTTATTTTGATACATTTCTTCTCGACGAAGCTTTATTATGTGAGGTTTTCCATGGAAAACTACAACAACAAAAAAAGAGACACACTCCTCTTCTTTGGTTTTGGATTAAGGTGGACTTGGGGTCAAACAAATCATGTTCTCTCCAAAATTCATAACTCTTCCATAAGCAAATTGTTGATCCTGTCTTAACCGTGCTTCCAGGATAATTTGCTAGACGGCTGGATGTTTTCTCACACGACTATAAAAACTGTTGTGCCTTTTTTTTTGCTTCTTTCCATAAAATGGAACATTTCTATACACGTATAGCCAACCCAACCAACAGTACACATGGGACTCATAATAACACTGGATTTCAGTTTATGTTATATTATAATGTTCCTCCTGAGGGTGTTCGATAACATCAAAGTAGTAGTTGATATATATACAGAGAGAAAGAGGAAAAGATGTGGCGTTCCCAAGAAATGCGATTCTAGCCACAGTTTACCTGAAGTGAGAATTCAAACCGATATGGAGAGCAGATTGGGGTTTTTTGGGGTGGAACCGCACAGGATATTTTCTTAAAAATGGAAAATAGACATGTGAAGAGTTCGGTTAGAGTTTAGTCATAATTATAAAAAAAAAAAAACTGACAGTATTCATGTATCATTATAAGATTACACTAGTGGTTCTCAACAAGTTTTGGCTCCAGATTCCAAAATCACATGGCGCCAAATAAAATGCTATTAAAATTGATTCATATTATCGTAAAGTACATAGAAAATTTAGTATTTTTATAAAGACACAAACCCTTAAATTGTGATTTACACTTTTTAGCTTGTACCGTTTGGTTTTTAAACGTCAAGTTGAGAGTTGTGATGGTTTTATGCTCTCGGCGGCCAATAATTCACCACACAAAACACACTGTGGTTGACTCAAACCATGTTTATTCTTGTTGTAAGTGTATATGTAGTTTGGCCTTCATATTGGCAGCTGCAAAATAGGAGTAGCTTCCACCAAATGAAAGGTGAACTTAAGACCACGGAGTTTGATTGTACGCATAATATTGGATGTCCAAAATTAAACATTTTAGGCAAGTTGATTTATGTTTCTGTGCTAACTTTCGTTGAGAACCACTGGTCATGAAGGCACAACAGTGCACTGCAAAATATTGTTTTTCTTACTCTTCTTGTTTCTAGTCCAAATATCTAAATAATATTACATATCGTTTTTGTTTTACAGAAATAAATTGTCAAAATTAAAGGTGCTGTAGGTGACCTGCCAAAATGCTAACTGTTAGCATAATAGCTTTGAAAACAGAAAAATCACAAACACAGACATTAAAAATGACAGTAAACAACCCACTAGATCATATCATTCGTCAATTTGAAAACTGTATAGTACTTTATAATACTACAATTCCCAATAAAAAAACTGTATTATATCTAGCATATTTTCACTTGTGTAGCAAGCAAAACTTGTCATAATGTGCAGTATTTCATGCATGCAAGGCTCGCTGCTCTCACTCTGTCACAGACTTTGTCGTAAAGCGACTATGCTTAGCCATACTTACATGCTATTTCAGACCAAATATTAAGAGTAGCATTGCAGACAATATAGAGAGCGCATCACAGGTTGTCCTGTTCGAAAAATGAACCAATGTAAATATAAAACCAAGTTCACCTCAGTAAAGCAGGCTAGGTTTTGTAGATAAACTAAATAAAATCTACATTATCGATGCTGTAAAAGGTCTCTTACGATATTGAAAATAGTCACATCAAGCTTTCGCCGGATGATTTCAGTGGCTGAACGACACTTCAGTGCACATAACCTATTTGCACTGATTTAGCCTATTTAGCCTGACTAAAATAGTTTTGAAACAGAACATTACCTGTCTAACAGAAATACTTCAGCATGGTGTTGTACTTCCTAAAGCAATATTGATTCGGGACTTTAAAAGTTTTGATTTAGCATTTGTTTTTACTTCTGTCATTTTCTCTCTCTGATGTGCACATGCAAACGGCAGATCTGTCTGCGTGAACAGGGGTGTGCAGATGTACAAATCTACATTTGTTGACACAGTGTGGGCTACTTTTACAAAGACAAATTTAATTGGATGAACATTTTTAGTCTTATGCTTTACCCAGAATATAAAAATGCATAAATACATTTAGATCATTTTCTTTAATCATTACTGTTAGAATTTGAAGAGATTTTCAACCTGCACAACAAAAAATGCTTCTGAAGACAATCACCTACTGCACCTTTATTTGACTTTTTTTCTCTACTAATGTGCTAACTAAAATATTCCATTTTTTTTTATTTGAAATAAGATTGTTTTACTTAACTCAGATAATTAAGCTTGTTTTAAAGAAAACTCACTTAAGTTTGACATTATTTACGACCACAAAACCAGAATATACATTTGTAGAAGTTGAGATGTATACATTATCTGAAAGTTGATTAACTATTTATTGATGTATTCCATGTCATGTGTCATATTGAACATCTATGAACTTGTTTTCTACTAAAAAAACATTAAGTACTCTTCACGTTGATTAATTACCCAAGATTCCATCTTGTTTCTTTGATTAAATACAGATTTTTAAAAGTTGTGGTATTCTTTTTGAATCACCCTGTATTTACCATAGATTGAAATTTACCAAATATCTTCATGGAACATGATGTTTCCGTAATATTTAAAAAAAAAAAAAAATTTAGTGTAAAAGAAGAATCGAATCCTTTTCACCTATTGCCGAATTTATCCTCATGCAACATAAGACTGGTTTTGTGGTCCAAGTTCACATTTCATTCATTCATTCATTTTCCTTCGACTTAGTCTCTATTTCAAAGGTCGCCACAGCGTAATGAACCAGTAACTATTCCAGCATATGTTTTACACAGCGGATGCCCTTCCAGCCACAGCTAAGTCTTGGGAAGCACTCATACACTTTCAATTACACACCAAACTCAAATACTACGGCTAAATAATTAATACAATTCACCCATAGCGCATGTCTTTGGACTGTGGGGGAAACCAGAGCACCTGGAGAAAACCCATGTGAACATGGGAAGAACAAGCAAACCCCACACAGAAATGCCAGGAACTCAAACTAGCAGCCTTCTTGCTGTGAGGCGACCGCTAAGCCACCATGCTGCCCAATGTCACATTTCAAAACAAAAGAATATTTTGACTATAATTTTTAGATATCTGGACTAGAAACAAGACAAAATCTTTAAGTATGAGAAGCATTGTTTTTGCAGTGTTCAGATTATACTGTAAGTCTGCAGCCTGCTTTTTTGTTCAACGATCCATGTTATTTGTTCATTGCGGTTTTAATTGGCTTAATGTCTCACTTCCCGTCTTCTCTCAGTAGCGATGACCTACTGAGGTTTCCGTGTCTGCCTGTAGGCATTTCAGATTGGCTGTTTAATCCATCGGAAGGCCCACATCAACTATACGCCAACAGAACTCTGCAAACACCTCTTCAGATCGGGATGTTGTTAAAAGACGAACACATCCCTTTTCCTTTTGCATATATATTTTGGCCAATCGAATCCTTTCAGCTGCCATTAAGAACTCAGTTTACTGCGTTTAAATTCATTTCACAGACCTTTTTCTTCTGGCCTATTCATTTGTGATCAGACCCAACGTCTGATCTGACAATCAAATGGTGCATTTAAAGCTATGGTTCTGTTCGTGGTTTCATGATATGATATCGCAAAGTATGTGCACGTACCTCCACGCATTCCAGAACATGACTGAATGTAGAGATATGCATTTTTGACTAACCGCATTATTAAGTAATTCCCCAAACTACTGTAGCTAGAATCATTACCAAAGACACAGGATTACTTCAATTAAACACTCCCTGCATCTGTTTAAAGGGATAGTTCGCTCAAAAAGGATAATTTACTTACTGTTTTCACAAGTATAATGAACAAACACACACACACACACACAAAAAAAAAACGAATCGTTGACTTCCATAGAAAAAAAATATATTTTGGAAGTCGGTGGTTACAGATTTTTAGCTTGCTGCAAAATACCCAGCTGCCAAACAACATCATATGATTGATCTTAAGTTCTGTTTTGGTTGCGACGTCAGCTGACCAAAAATTAAGGTCAATTTGCTGACATCTAAAGGCTGGTTTATACTTCTGCGTCGAGTGATCAGCGTGACCCACGGCGCCAGCCTTGCACGTAGTCGTGCATTTATACTTCTGCAGGCTGTTTGTGTTGCTCTGCAATAGCACTTCCGAAACGCTAGCTGGCAGTAGGTTTTTTTAATGTTCCCCTGTGTCGAATTTCTTGTCTGGTGTTTTGTTTTTTCTGAAAGCTACCTTAATGTGCTAGTAGCTAAAACTTGCTTATTCGGAGGTGGAATTGGCGGACGTGCAAGAACTTTAATCATAAGGTAAACACAAAACAAAAGTTTCTATCTGGAGCTCCTTCACGGGAATCGACACTTGTAAACACTTGATCCATTGGGCTAGCGGCTTTCAGCACTGCCCATGCTTGTCTCTGGTACCAAACCAATCAATCACAGAGCTTGCGCTAGACATAGCGAGGTATATGCAACCGCGCGAAGGCTGCGCCAGACCATATGCATGCACTTGATGCAGAAGTATAAATCAGCCCTAATACCGACGTCAGCTGGCATTGATTTTTGGTTGCTTTTAGGCTGTGACATTAACTAACCAAAATCCAACATCAGTAGATATTTATCTTTGGTTGGTTTTACGTTATGTAATCATCTTGACGTTGGAGTCCGACCTCTAACTGACGATGGGTTCTGACATCAACATGATTTTCATATACAACCAAAATTTAAAGTTAGTTCTATGTTGGAGTCCAACATCAATATTACGTCTATGTGAGATCTGGTGGCTGCTGGGTATCTTCTTTTGTGTTCAACAGAAGATAGAAAGTCAAACAGGTTTGGATCAAGTGAAGAGTGAGTAAATGGCTGTTTCTATCCAAAGATGTGAATTAGATTAAATCGCAAAACTGGAACATCTCATAAAGCGCCGTTTCCATCCAAATAAGTCACTTCCTGATAAACTGGCTCAAATAACAAAAAGAAAATTAGAATTTTCTGCATCAAGGGAAGCCACTGCGGGCCTTTTTCATTTACAGTAAATTACTTCCGTCTCAGAAGACAAAATGTAATGAACGCACAGCGGCTTTTAGAGGCGTGAGATGCTCAAGAAAGTTCTGGAGGTATTAATACCAAACCACTTTGATGACAGACTTTGGCTGATGTATTTAATAATAAACAAAACAACATTTTAGATGCTTTATAATGTGGTCGGTCCGCTGGTTTGTCCATTAATACCATCCAATCGGACCTATTTTTGTTATCACATCTGTTAAAACAAAAATCACATTACTTTTTTGGAATATTAATGCATTCTTTGATGCACATTTTCTGAATTAATGCACATCTTGGCATTTCCGTTAAGCGTTTTTTATACGATGTTCTAAAATGTTCATAAAAATAGGCGAATGGAAACATCGCTAATTACAGAATTTTCAGTTTTTGGTGAACTATCCCTTTAATTGGCCTTACATGATCTCCGTTTGACAGCTGCAACAGATGGAATTTGCTTATGGTGCCTCTGTATAGTTTGTTTGTTGACATCAGACTCAAGTCACACAAGTGCAGTCTTCCTCCCATGCCACATATATGAGTATAAATACATGCGCACATGAACCTCAGTTCTCAAACCAACCACGTAAGTGTTTTTCATTGGATCGTGAGTAGACTGGTTTCTTGACGACGGTGAACGTAAAGCTGTAAAACTGCCTGTTTTTTCCACAATAAATTTGTAGAGCAAGGTGACATATCTTTGACATGATTTCTATCCATTTAGGAGAAGTGCGACGCGAGTTTCATTTGTTTACATTGTGTTTACGATTGGCACAGTTTCATTTTTAAGACTACATGTATAGCTATATTTACAAATACTTGCATATTTATTAAGGTTAAACAACTGATGTGTATGTGTTTTCACTATTGGGATATAATGTTACGGTAGTCACTTGTATTGATATCTGGATGATTTTGCTAAGTAGTAGGTAATTTTTATGACTACTAAGTGACTGTTTTCTGTGCCTTTTTATCGTAGATGCATGGTTAACTATTTATTACAATATGGAGGTCACTGAGATGTGTATTTTTGTATCCTGATTAAATAAGTGTTTCGATTTTGATGTACATTTTGAGGTGGTCAGACGCTACCAGTTGATATCTTCCTTCTTCAATAAAACTGAATGCATACACGGTAAACTGTCGCTTTTTTTGACTTGTGTGTGGGATCATGTAAAAGTACAACTTAAAAAGGTACTATTATGCAAAAATCACTTTTATAAGGGGTTTAGACAATTGTGTGGCAAAAGTGTGTGAATATAACCAGCCTCTAATAGTCAAAATTAATTAATTCTATATTTTAATAATCACACTTGATAAAGTCTGTAGAAACACTTTAATTGACATTCTGCCGTCATACATGTCATCAGAGGGGGAAAGCCCTGCTCATTAGTGATGATCTCTCCCTCATTAGCATAAACAGCCCTGAGTGAGAAGCTGTCTGTTATTCCTTTTCACGCCAAACACCATACAATAGACTACCATTTTCTGGCACATTGTTTTATCATTTTCAGCTGTTTTTAATCTGCCACTATGCTGATGCACAGGCATTTGTAGCTCCACCCTCTTTTGAAAAGAGCACAATCCACTGATCTGTAATAGAGATCTGGATTGCTCATGACGCCATAAGAAGCGAAGCCACCACACAGCCATAATGGTAAACCCTACTATGCTCATGCGTGGGCTCATGCGGTGGAATTAATAGGAATTCGTATGATTTTAATGCGAAAACATGAATATGAAATAATTATTTATTTGGGATTAAGAAGCTGTTCTGCTTAGTATGGAGAAGAGGAACAAACAGAACGAAAATAACATGTTTTTGGTAAGTGGCAGTAACGGACTATTTTGTTGGAAGAGACAACATATACGATAACTTTTTTTTGAACAGACACTGATTGTTCACTCGTAATATATATAGATCGTTTTCTTTAGCAAATATAGATAAAGAAGTTGTACACCAAAAATGTCAAACAAAGTTTTTATTTACACAAATTTAAGCATGTGCATGGATTTGGCTCGAAGCAATCTCATTGAATATAAAAAGTGTTCTGTCTGCTTACTTTAAATATAGCCTTTATCTGATTTGGTTAATAGTGCATTGTTAAAATTGGGTGTTTGTTTAAAATAAGTTACATGGTTAAGTAAATTCATATGCTGCCAATGCAATTTAAGCAACGCACAGATAATTAATACAACTGTATTTCACCTCCTTTCTATCACTGTGCATATATGAGTACTATATACAGTAGAAGTCAGAATTATTAGCCCCCCTTTGAATTTCTTTTCTTTTTTTTATAATTTCCCAAATTATGTTTAACAGAGCAAGGACATTTTCAAAGTGTGTCTAATAATATTTTTTTTCTTCTGGAGAAAGTTTTATTTGTTTTATTTCGGCTAGAATAAAATCAGTTTTGAATTTTTTAAAAACCATTTTGAGGTCAAAATTATTAGCCCCTTTAAGCTATATTTTTTTTCCGATAATCTACAGAACAAACCATCATTATACAATAACTTGCCTAATTACCTTAACCTGCCTAGTTAACCTAATTAACCTAGTTAAGCCTTTAAATGTCACTTTAAGCTGTATACTGTAGAAGTGTTTTGAAAAATATCTAGTAAAATATTAATTACTGTCATCATAACAGCTATAAAATGAATCAGTTATTAGAAAAGAGTAATCAAAACATATTATGTTTAGAAATGTGTTGAAGAGAACAGAAATTGGGGAAAAAAAATAAACAAGGGGCCTAACAATTATTATGACTTCAACTGTATATTACAGTGTATTGTTATTTTACATGCTCACTTCATAAATGACAAAATAAGCTTGAAGAGAACCTGAACAGATTTGCCTCATCCTTTGCTAAACTTCGTGTAAGACTTGTAATTGTACACCAGGTTATTTTTGAAGCGGAGCGACTAATCCTCGTATCGCACACATTGGAGCTCTCTGTCAGTAGAGCACAGTAATAAGATGGCAGATCGAACAGATCCTTTTGGAACCAATAATATCCAACTGCATACCCGCAGACATTTCAGCACACACAATCCAGCACACACGATATAGGCAAGAGTAAACAATATATGGTTAAGACTGATGTTAATGTTATTAAGGACCTCTGGGACCTTAGAATGCAATGAGCAATCCAGTCATTCTAAATCAGTGGCACAAACTCATTTGAATTTAAAGTGACAAGTCACTAAAAAAGTTTTCCAGATGGGAAGGGCATCCGCTGTGTAAAAACTTGCTGGATAAGTTGGCGGTTCATTCCGCTGTGGCGACCCCGAATTAATGAAGGGACTAAGCCGACAAGAAAATGAATGAATGAATGAGTCACTAAAAAGGCACAATTTAGGTAAAAGCCTAAAAGCGACACTTATAAAAAGTAAGAAAAAATATTATTTGTGTGATATTTTGAGCTGAAACTTCACACACACACACCCACACACACTCTCTCTATAGGGACTCTTCAGATACTTACGTTACATCTTGAAAAAGGGACGTAATAGGTCCCCTTAAAAGCATCATGGGCCAATTGCAATGGAAGACTGTTATTTTTTTTTTTGATATGCTATATGAAACATTTTAATTAGATTCTTTGACAAATTATTATTAAAAAATGTCCATAAATCTGATTTGAAGGCCCTCTGGCAATACTTACTGTAAGTGGCCCACTTGGGGACTTTGAAAGATTTAAACTAATGTTGTATGGCTTTAAGGAGAGATGTTCTGCTGTCTATACGTTCATTTTCTTTTCGGCTTAGACCCTTTATTAATCTGGGGTCGCCACAGCGGAATGAATCGCCTAATTATTCAGCATATGTTTTATGCAGCGGATGCCCTTCCAGCCACAACCCATCACTGGAAAACATTCATACACTCTTATTCACACACACATACACTACGGTCAATTTACCCAATTCACCTCTTCGGACTAGTGAGAGAAACCGGAGCACTCGGAGGAAACCCACGCGAACAAGGGGAGAACATGCAAACTCCACACAGAAATGCCAACTGACCCAGACAAGACTCAAACCAGCGACCATCTTGCTATGAGGCAAAAGTGCTAACCACTAAACCACAATGTTGCCTGTATTCATAATATATTTTATATACTCGATTACATTTACTGAAACTCATCAAGATTAAAACTATTAAAAGAATAAAAAAACGTATTGTGGACTAAGCAAAAAAGAGAAAGTTTGAAACACAAATAATCTGCTCAGGGTGACGCAGTGGCACAGTAGGTAGTGCTGTCGCCTCACAGCAAGATGAGTGAATGAATGAATGAATAATCTGCTCAATTTTTCATGGAATGAGACCCACTGATCTTCCACAGCATGCACCCAGTTTGAGGGTCAAAAGTTGTTTGCGTCACCTTTACATTCATTTATGAGATCTGTTGATCCTGGAACAACATTCTAATCAGATTTAAGGGATATGTTTACATCTTATATTAAATTTAAATTTGTTCCAGGATCAGCATGAATGTTAAGTCATGATTGGATCCTACTGGACAAAATCACACCCACAGTTACTTTATATACACCAATCTAGTGTCTTGTTGGTGGAATTCCCTACATGATGATGGATAATGTAGTTCTTAATATCTGTTGATACTGCTGCTTAACAGACATTTAACGGACTATAAGAAACTTGGCAAGAATATATTTTGAAGTATTTGGCAAGCAATTAATTAAACTCTGCATGGGAATAAATGCGAAATTGCTGAAGTATATTGAAATGATTCCACCGAGATTACATGATGTAATGGTAAAGATGGTCCAACAAAATATTACAGTGTGTGACTTTGGCAGTGTAAAATTAAGTTGATGTAACCCTGGTTCCCCTTCAGGGGGAACTTCAGCACTATAAGTGGATTGATGTACTAATCCACGTATGGAAGGATTCGGTTCAGAAGCCACTCGCCTGAAAGAGTATTGAACGGGCCAATTAAGAATGAATTGGCAGCGCAAGCCTGCGCAGGTGTGCTGCATAGCCAATTAACTGAGCATATAAGCAAACCAGGCGCCAGCAGACGCTATCCTTTTCGCTTCAGAGACTTTTCTGATTGAGTTCATGAAGGTTCCTCCTGCTGATCTACAGCCACTTCAAGCGAACGAGTGTCTCCCGGTCCAGAGCGAGTCCACGCAGCGGCAGATGGTCGAGCTGGGTTTCTCCCTTGCCTGGCGTCCCTTTGGGTCCGGTCCTCCAGAGCGGTGCGTATTGTTGCAGCTAAAAGAGCAACACAGTCGTGCAGCACGTCCTTTTCAGGACGGCGCTCCGACTGTGCGTTTCTGGTTGCAGGGGTTTCCTGGCTCCGGATGATGGGCACGATCACTGCATTACATGTTTGGGGGTCCAGCATGTTAATGTGGTGCTCGGGGGCGGTTCATGTCGTCACTGCGATGCCATGACCGTCACGCGGTTGAGATCGCGGCTAGCTTTCATAAGAGAGCGAGCCACCCTAGTCGCCTCCTGCTCTGCAGCGGGTGCTCGGGCAGATCTGAGAGTTCCAGCGAGAGATAATCCGCCGCCTAAGGGCTCGCGGACCTCTCGCTCCTCCAAGCGCTCCATCCAAGCTTCGGGTACTGGGAGTGTTCCGTCTAATCAGATGGTAGCTCTCACGCTCGCTGACACCGGAGATCAGATGTCCCCCGCGGCATCGGAGGGTGGGCTTTCATTGTCCGACGATGATCCGGACCCGCTCGCCCCCTTCGGGCAGGTGAGCACTGTCAAAACGGATACTGAAACGGACGTGTTAGCCGTGCTTTCCCGGGCTGCTTTGGCTGTGGGTTGGAGATGGTTTATCCCCCAGCTCCGCGGCCGGACTGACTAGAGGGGCGTTCCCTTCTTCCCGGTGACGCACAGTAGGCTCACGCGGTCTTAAAGAGCACTTTTTTCTGCTCGTGCTGTGTGTCCCTCCACCCTCACCACTCTTGGTGGTGGAGCGGCCAGGAGGTATGTGGCAATTCCTCAGGTTGAGTGCGCTATGGCGGTTAGTCCGCGCGGCGCCTCTTCTTGGTGGGGTCCGCCTCGTCTCCCATCCAAAGCCTGTAAGTTTCTGCTCCCCGGAGTCAGAGCTTGCAAAGCTACGGACCAGGCTGCTTCCGCCTTGCAAGCGATAGCCACCTAC